TAGACAGTGATAATAATAATTTTATTGACTGTTTTTTTTTTGTGATTTTGAAACAAATTATGTATAAAAAAAATGTGAAAAGTTTTATATAAATATAAAATATCTTTATATATATATATAATCTATATCTATATGTTGTTTCCGTTTTTGTGATTCAATATACAGTATATATAAATTGTCTGCATTTCATCAAAAAACAAAAAAAAACAAAAAATTGTTTCATACTTTCAAATTTTTTTTATTAATTAGATATTTATTTTATTTGATTTTTGTTTTACTGGTATAAACTGTCCAAAAAAAAAATGTACAAAAAAAATCATATCAGATATATAACTGTCAGATAGATAAATATGTGATGAAAATTAAAAAATAAAAGTTTATTTTTCCCGACAATCAAGTATATCGTATATATATATATGATATATAATATGATTTTATTTTATTTTATTTTTTTTTTGTTATGAATAGTTAGTTAACAAAAATTTTTATGTGAATATTATGTAAGAGAGAGAGAGAGAGAGAGAGAGAGAGAGAGAGAGAGAGAGAGAGAGAGAGAGAGAGAGAGAGATTGTGTAGAGATTAGGAGGAATGGGAGACAAAGTTTATATTTAAAAATCAAAGTACAAAATAAAAATGTTCAACAAGTGTTGTCTCAAATTTATATATATATATATATATATATATATTTAGGAAAAAATATTAACCAGTATTTAGCAGATTTAGTTTGGTTGGTTGGTTGGTTGGTTGGTTGGGGTTAGTTAGCTAGTGGTAAATTATAAAGTGTATTGAACTATACATACTATGTGTGCGGTAGGTTTTTTTGGTGGGTACAGTATGTACAGTATGTATGTGTGTGTGTGTGTGTGTACTCAAAAATATGTATGTCCAATTTGCCCAGACATATATTATTGCCTAAAAATATTATATATATATATATATATTTACTGTATTTAATAAATATAAAAATACTAAATATACTGTATATATATATATATATATAAACAAATTTATATATATATATGGATAGTGTAAAGTATCATATTTAGCATATGGCATAGGATATTATTATTATTATTATTATTCATAACCGTGCGCTTACATACATGTATGAATGGGGAACAGGCTATAAAAATACTGTATATATATATGTGTGTATATATATATATACTGTATGAAAGTAATAACAAATCGGAGCTCTGAGACTGTATGGCATCAGTCATGAGATTATATAGAGTTTTTTATATGGCTTTTAAACAGAGAGAGAGAGAGAGAGAGAGAGAGAGAGATGTCATATCCATATCATATACTTTTTTTTAGTAATACTTTTATTTATATAACATTTCGCAAACTAAATGCCACTTTTCATATATATATTTGATAAATCATTGATTATAATATACAGTATATTATATATATAATATATATATATATATATATATATACGGTATATACATGTATATATAGAGGCCATAAATGTGTTGGTGGTTATAGTTGTTAGTTATTAGTTTAGTTGTTAGATATATCTCAAAAAACAACTCTTCAATCATTTTTTTTAAATAATTTTATATATAATTTTCATAGTTTTTGACAAACAATTTTCATATTTTTTGACAAACCATACACACACATACAGCCATCAAAATGCAACTATAAATAAATATATTTATATATATATATATTTATATTACTTAACACTACTATAGTATATATATATATACAATACTCTAATACATACAAATCTAACAATTATTTTAAAAATTTTATTTACATAACATTTATTAGGAAAAATTCTTCAATTGATTTGCACACAAAAAAAACTAAATTATTTCTAAAATAAACAACAAATTGGATGATATGTGTTGAAGTAATTTTAATATTTTTTTTGTTGGTATTTAAATAAAAATATTACTCTAAAAATAGATTATTTTTAAATATATATATTTATAATATACTCAAATATATTAAATATTATTTAGAAGTTTTCTTTTAAAAAAAATTATTTATTTATTTTTATTTTTTTTTGTTAAAACATAATTTTTATTGAATTCGGTTTTCATTTAATTAATTTTTTCATATAATTAATATAACAATTTTTATTTTATTTTTTAAAAATAAAACTACATCAATACATTTAATAATAATTTTATTTTTTGTAAAATACTGTTTTTAATTTATTATATATATATATTATCATTTTAAGTGTTATTATTATTATTATTTAAAAATTTAAAATTATTTATATATATGAAAATATCACAAAATAAATATATTTTATTATAACAATGATTATATATAATAATAATAATGTTAGATAATAATAATAATAATAATATCATTGAGTTAGACAATTAAAAATAAACAATATATATTTAGATTTATTATAAATAAGTAATAATAATAATAATAATAAATTTTTTAGTTAATTAATTAAAATTAATATTAATAAACAACAATAAGTATATAAATTAAAAATAATTGGTTGTAATGACACAAAAAAAATTATTTAAAATAATTATTATGAAAAATATTAGCTCTAAATATATAGTATACTATATTATTATTATTATGAAAAAAATGAAAACCAAATAAAAATTAATATATGAATTAATGTAATTATTATTAATAATTATAATATATGATAAAAATTACTAATAATAAAATATTATTAAATAATAATAATAATAATAATATTACATAAATGAAAATGAAATGAAAATAGTATATATATATATATATATATATTAATCATAATAACTTTATTATGTAATTATTATTATTATTTTTACAAATTATTAAAATGTTAAAATGCCTAAAATTAGTAAAAATCATATTTTTATAGTTTTGTTTAGTGAGCATATATTTTTCATTATTGTTAAAAAAATATTTTACATAAATACTTCATTAATAATTATAAAATAATAAATCCAAAATTAATTAGAAAAATAAAATTAAAATTAAACATAAAATTAGATAAATTTCTAAATAAATGTTTTATTATTATTATTATTATTATTATTATTATTATTATTATTTATTATTATTATCTCACTCAGCAAAAAAAAAATATGATTCAGAAAAAAATATAATATCAAATAATATTTTAATATTATCTTAAATGATTTAAATTTATGATTATTAAATTAAATAAACTAACTTAAATTAAATTAAAAATACATTTTATAACATTATATACTATATACTATATACTATATATATATATATATATATATATTAAAAAACATTTTTCATAATTTAATTTTAATAAGTTTTAATTCAATCTCTTTAATTTATAATAATAATAATAATAATAAAACCTAAAAATAGATTTATTTTTTTGAAATAAAAATATACACATAATTATATGTACAGACATTTATACAACATTTAAAAATTATTATATATTTTTCTCTCAACACTTATGATATCCAATAAATAAATTAATAAATTAAACGAAAAAAATATATGTTTAAAATGATAGAAGAGATTCAATGATTAAGTCAAAAGATAATGTCTAATGAATATATGTTATTATTATTATTATTATCAGTAATAATAATAATAATAATAATTTAAATAAATAATTAGTATGAAATTAATTACATGTATAATTATTGTTTTGTCAAAAATTATATATATATATATAAATAAAATATAATATATGTTTTTTTAAAAAGTTATTCAGTCTATTCAAAAAAAATTAATTAATTAATTAATTAATTACAATATAATTATTATTAATTACATATTTAATAATTAACTACTAAATAATAAAACACATATAATATAATACATTACTACTGTGTGTATCATATATTCAATGCCTTTATCCGAAAACAATCTGAAAATAAATACAAAAATAAAATAAAATTAGAGACAATAATAAAGTTAGTTATATATTATATGAAATGACAAAAAAATAATAATAATCAGATAAAACATTCAAAAAAAAGTAAATTATAGTATTATTATTATTATTATTATATTTTTTATATACAGTATTATATTAATATAAGTAAATATAGTAATATAATTAAATAAAAAACATTTTATTGTATTACCAGAGTAGATATACATGTATATAAAAGTTATAAATAATAATAATAATAATAAAGTATATAAAAGTTATAAATACTAATAATAATAATTATAAAGTATATAAAAAACTTTTCTTTTTTTAATATATATATATTGATATATCATTATATAATATATTTTCAATTATATATCAATATATATATATATAATAAATATTATATTACAATATAAATATATATTTCAATTATATTGAAGCCATACCTGTTGAATGTGTTTTATTTTCTTTAGTGGTAAAAGTTTTTGGCATTTATTAGATGAAGTACAAGACAATCGACTACTACTACCACTTATTTTGGGATCAATTTCTTTATTATTATTATTATTATTAGTAGTATTTAAAAAATTATTATCTTTTCTTCTTAATAATAATGAAGTATTAATTTCACGTCTTCGCCGTCTTGTTGTCAGCAGATGATGGACAGGAAGAGGTGGTAGTGTATGATAATGATTATGATGAAGAAGAAGAAGACGATGACGAAGAGGTGATGAAGAAACTAATCCAACAACTGGTCTGTCACTACTAGTAGTTGTTGTTGTGGTTATGTCTTCTTCGTCTTCTTGTTCTTCTGTTTCTGTTTCTTCGTCTTCTGGTCTGACACTTCGTTTGCCAATCTTTTTCAAAATCTCTGCATTCACTTGGATCTGATCCTGATTTTCTTTCATCCGCCTGCGGGCCAACTCCAACAGCAATCGCTGTCTTAATACGTCCAACGGATTCACAATCGACAGCTGCGGTCCTTCGCCTCTCTTTTTCAGACTAACACCACCGCCGCCGACGCCGCCGCCGCTGCCGACACCTCTCATGGCATAAAAGTCAAGCAAATGGCGCAACAGATCTGCTTTATGTCTTAACTGGTTGTCATTGTCTTCGTTGTTATGACCACTGATATGGTGCTGATGGTGACTGATCTTGAAGTTTGGATTATTATAATCAATATTATTATAATTATGTGACAACTTTTCCAGCTCTCGGGTCTCCAGTTCTTCAATCAGTCGCGAATTGATTACATGATCGACGGCTTCGTCGTGCGATGAAAACTGTGGCCACAGTTGGCCAAAGAGGGCCGCATTTTCTTCGTTCAGACGATGATGACTGCTGGCTGCGGGTGAACCACCACTACTACTACTACCACTACGACTGCTGGTTCGCGGTATCCATGAATGACTGGTTCCGTCATCAGCGATGGCAACAACAACATCATCATCAGTGTCGGGATTGTCGGGATTAGTTGATTGGGACGACTCCTCAAACAATTCGGGTATTGTTTCCTTGTTTTGTTGTTGTTGTTGTCGTAGTTGTTGTTGTTGTTGTTGTGATAGTTGAAAATTATTGATAATAATAGTCACCACAAATAGATAGGAAAACAATAGAAAGTTTAACGAAAAACATGTCCTCGAAAATAGCATTTTCATCCGTCAATTGAATTAAATTGAAAATAAATATAATTTACACCAAAAAAAWTTTTTTTTTAAAATCAATTAAATGTTATTACAATCATATCGTTGTTAACTTTTAAAAAAAAAATTAAATTAAATTGAAACCAATCAATGTATATATAATTTTTTTTATTTTTTATTTAACAATTGTTTCAACAAAAAAATTTATTAAACTTGTGTTTGATATTAACTATTAATAATTAAACAAACAGTTTAACAGTATATATATGAAAAAAAACGTGACCACAAAATAAAATAAAAAACTTCAAAAAACACAATTCAAAATGTGTTGTATAACCACTTATTTTTTTGATGGTATGATATAACTATAACTAACTAATTATAACTATTATAACTCAATCCAATACAAACAAACAAATAAAATTAACTAGAATATATATATATATATTTAATTATTATTTTTTTTAAATGTGACTTTTTATTGGTTTCGGTCAAAAAAATTTCTATATATTATTATTATTATTATTAAATATAATAATAATTTCTTTCAATTATAAAACTTTCCAACACTTTATATATGAAAAATTTATTGCAATTATTTTATATCATATGTTAAGAGAGAGTAAGAGAGAGAGAGAGAGAGAAAGAGAGAGAGAGAGAGTCTACCGCAAGAAGAATTGGTGTCTGACTTCTACCCCAAACTCTAAAGCAATAGATTCTTCTCTGTCTCTCTCTCTCTCTCTCTCTCTCTCTCTCTCTCTCTCTCTCTCTCTCTCTCTCTCTCTCTCTCTCTCTCTCTCTTTCCCATAAACCATATGCTCTCTCTCTCTCTCTCTCTCTCTCTCTCACACACACACACACACTCACTCACTCTCTCTCATAGGATAATATACATTGCTTTATGGACTCGGAGGCCACACCTATTTGCACATACACTACAACGAAAAACTACAGATTCCTCATCCGATTCTCTCTCTCTCTCTCTCAAACTCTCTCTCTCTCTCTCTCTCTCTCTCTCTCTCTCTCTCTCTCGACAACTCAATTACGAAATTATATATATRTATATATATATATATATATATATATATATATATATATATATATATATATACTGTATGTATGTGTTGTAATCAATTTTGATTATTACTTATTATTGATAATATGATTTTATCGACTATTTTTTTGTTGTTGTTAGGAGTGAATCTATTAAATAATTAATTATTAAACTAAAAAATAATGATTTATAATGTTATTGTACGGTACTATCACTGTAATAATAATAATTATTATTATTATACAATGTAGTATAACATGTACTGTACTAAACTAAAACAATATAAAATTTTTGTTGTTGTTATTATTATTGTTAAATTAACAGGGAAAATTTTCACAATAAATAAATTAATTATTTAGTAACTGTAAAATTTAATGATAGCTATATATACTATATATATATTATTATATATGATATATATATATATATAAACTGTATTACAATGAAATCAGGATGTTTTATGCTTAATAAAATATATATATAAATATTTATTATAAACTATATATATATTATAGTATATAATTACATACAATATATAAAAATTTTGTGAATTTTTTTTTATTAAACTTAAAATTCAATTGAGTTAAATAAACCTTTACAAGGTTAGCTATTTTATTTCTCATTAAAAATATAAAAATATATTGACATTTAATTAAAAATTTTATTTATATATAAATTTTCTATCTAATTGTATGCTAGACTTTTATATATGATTAACAATGATTACAGTAATTTGTAAGTAATGTTATACAATAACAACAACAAAAAAATAACAATTTAAAGTTTAAATATTTATTTTTGAAACTATAATAAAACTAAACTCTATGTAAACTCTATGAGAAAAAAAATTATATTACAATTATATTATAAGTTCAACTATATATATATATATATATATATATATATATAATTTAATTTTTTATTTGTTTAAGTAATTACTTATAAAAAAACTATTTAAAAAAGCAAATACATGTTAACTACTGTATTATGAGTTATAATGTATTAAATAAATTAATGGCTTAATATGTGACTATTAAAATAAAAATTAAAAACTTCAATAAAAAATGTTAATCATAATTATTAAATATTTATATACACTTAATTAGTAGTTTTTTTTAATAGTATCACTATATAAACTAATTAGTTAAATAAAATCATAGTTTAATTTGATTAGATTATTGTTATTATATTATATTAACATTTTAAACATATAGCTTATATTGTGCTAAATTTAAATATTAATATTTTTAAAAACAAATTATTTCATATAAAACTTAAGTTTTGTATATAATTTATAAAACAATATGATTTGTTACTGTTAATAATTTATTATAATAGTTTATTTTAAGCTTAAATTGTAAGTACTTTTTAAATTAAAAAAAATATATATTTAAATAAATAATTATTATATAAAACATTATCCGTATTTTAAAAAAAAGTTAAGTAACTAATTTTGTATTTTTTAAAATAAGCAATTATTTTGTTTAAAATTGTAATAATAGTTATAAGCTTATAAAAGTTTTTAAAATGTGAAATAAATTAAATTATTTATATTATTAGATTAGTTTTATATGCTTTTAATATCTATATATAATATATTTCATTATAATACTAATCACATATTTATTACACATAATATATAAATGTATTTATTTTATTAGATTTTTCAAACAATTTTTTATTTGTAATTTCATACTATCTTACATAAGTAGCTATTATATTATATATATATATAAATATATTTACTGGTAATATACTATAGTAAACTATAAATATATAGATAATATAGGTATTATAATAATATTATTAAATGTATACTACTGTATAAAAAGTTAAGTTAATAAATATCAAATTTTTTACCTAACATTTCATTACATACATAACTACTTAACTACTAATATAAAACTATATATATATTTTATAAAATTTTATTTATCATTTAATGTACTATATATGCTGTATAATAAACAGTAAATAATTTCAATTTACTTACAATTTAATCAATTTATATAAGTATATTATTTTCGTGTTGTTGTTGTTATATAATTCAAATAAAATTTTTGTTGTTGTTATAATTATAAATAAGTTATTTAACTAAACTAAATATCAGTATTGTTTACACTATATATATATATTATTTTTATAATACTAATCATAAGATTTTAATAAAAAATTTATGTATAGATACCTTAATTTATTTATACTGTTAATATATACATGTATATAAATTTATTTTCATTGCTAAAATAAATAAAAATAATTTCTAATGGCATCGTTATAGAGATAAAGATTTTATATACATATATATATTATTACAATACATATGTATATATATATATATATATTATAGTTTATATGTTAAAGCTATTCAATTATTATTTTATTTAGTTATTTATTAATATTATTATTAACACTTAGCACTCACTCACACCTACAACAACATTATATAAATATATAATTAATGTTTTATATAGCGATAAAATGTGTTAATATATAATAATAATAATAACATTTTGTTAGTTTTTTGTGTGTAAAATCTTATACACTGTATATAAAGATAACATTTGTATGTTATCTTTAAAAAAAATAACAAAATTTTATGATAATAAGTTACAAGTATTGTAATTTACTATTATTATTAATACTAAATATTAATAACATTATAAAAAATTCAATAGATATTGATATATACATTTGAAATTGTGTTTTACTTAAATTAACTGAAAATGTATGTATGGGTATAGATATCAGATATATAATAATAATAATAATAAAAATATTATTAATAATTTAATAACTAACTATACATTAAATATATATATATATATATAGTTACGGAATATATATTTATATTATATATAAATATAAAATTTATATATTGGTATATTTAATGTCAAATCTAGTAATAATGTAATCCTCTTATACTACTTATACCGGTATAAAACTATTATATATATATATTGTATATGATTTTCACAGTTATTTTTGGTGTTTATATTAAATATATATATTGTTTGTATGTGTTATCGACACAATAATAATAACAACAACAGGAAATGATAATAGATTTTCAATACTAATGATTATATAAATTATATTATTATAGTTTTGAACTTTAAAATAAGTTATCAGTTATTTTTGTGTGTGTATGTGTGGGATATCTATTGATTGATTTATTTGATTTTATTTATTTTTATTTCATCAAACAAATGAACTAAAAAAACTACTGTAGTATACAATAAAAAGTTTAGTAATATTATTAATATTATATATATTGTATAGCAATTAAAAAATTAATAACCAAAAAAATATAGTTAGTTATACTGGATATTAATAAATTGGTAGAATTTAATTAATACATACATAGAGTATATATATATATATATATATATATATACAGTATTTAAACATTAAGTTTCAAAAAAAAACTTTATTGAATTAAATTTTTATAAA